CGTTAAAGCTTTACAAAGTCATTTAGAGCAACTTGCAAACCGCCAGACCGCCCACTCTGCCTTCCTCTGCTCCCACTTACGCCGGGAGAAATCCGGAATAACCCAGCCACTCTCAGTAGAGATTCGTCACTCTGAACGGCACCAGGGCGAGTCACAGATTTTCTGACTTCGGTTTGGATGAAAACCCAGGACTCGTTCATCGTACCTCAGGGTATTTAGCATTGACTTTAATTAAAAACCTCCTCGCCGGGCCAAAATGCATGCAGATGCAAACTTCCGTGTTCAGTGTCTGCAACGCATTGCTTGAAAAAAACTGCGATGCTACATTTACGGCCTGAGGTAGATGCACAACGTAGGACCTGCCTGTAAAATTTCCTCTTGTTCTGCAAACTCTCTCTCTCTGCACTGCCCCAATTTACCACAGTGCAAAAAACCCACAGCCAAATCAATATATTCTTGGGAAGGAAGGGGGGCTGGCAGAGTGGTTTTTGAAGGCAAGCCAGAGAATATTCTAAACGGGGGACACACAGCGTGTTTTAACTGCTGTGATAATTCTGCATAAAGAGATGTTAAGGATCTAGCTCCTTGCTGTAGCATGCCATGTGTCCCTGAATAAAATTACTGCCATGCAGGCTGTTAGCAGAGGAATGCGTAAACAGACAATGTATCCTTGCATCAGTTCCACAAAATGTTGCACAACACAAATGCCTCTCGATGTGTCATTTCCTGCTTGGCCACCAGCCCAGCTCCTGACAGGCAGTCAACAAAAAAAAAAAAAGAAAAAAAAAGGAAGAAAAAAAAATTAAAAAAAAAAAACCACCCAAACCCTGAAAGATTTAAAGCTGTTCTACTCCAAAGCACATTCCACTAGCCCCAGACTTATCCCTCCACCCTCTGCCTTTGAAAGAAAAGAGGGATAACTTCCTAAAAACTGTTATGGTTTTAAGTCGAGGAATCTCAAAAATCTCAATCACTTATCTGCGTTTTATAAGCTGGGTCGGCCAAACAGTTAATACAAAGGCTGAGCAGAACCTCTCTCTGGCTTTCGCTGGCTTCTGCAGTGTGCACAGACAAAAAGGCGATGTTTGCTCATACCTTTCGTCACGTGCGCACCTTGCAAGCTGCACCAGCAGAGAAATATTCGGGAGCTGAATGAAATAGAGCAGTTTTCTCCTACTGAAACGCTTCAGTTCAAAGCTCAGAACTACTTTGCCACTCATGCTGATAAAGAAAATCGTGGTCAGTGACTTTGGAGACCACCTTTAACTAGAGATGAACTGAAGTCTTTGGAAGTCAGGCAAAATATAAAAATACATAGAATTCTCCACCCTCCTTCCTCATGATTTCCCTCCTGACTGGGTTTCTACCAAAAGCAGCCAGAAAGGAGTACATGTCTCCTATTCAAAAGGTACCACCATTGAAGGGTAAATCATTATTTCTGTATTTGTAATGAGGTAAGGCAAAGGTATTAAAGAGGGGCTTAGGTAAAGGTTTGGGGGTTTTTTGTTCTGTTTTTTTCTTCTTTTAATTCCTTTACAGTGGCCTTTTGCTATCTGTTGGTCAGTTATGACCTCACGACAACTTACTTCTCTGGAAAACTTCTTTCAGCCCTCCCAACTGGAAGGCAGCTCTGCGGGCTAAGACATGCATATGGCAGAGGTTTTATCTTGGATATGAGGAGAGAAAAATATCTGCAGGATTTCCCAATGATTCCCAAAGATCTTATACAACCCTGTCTCCAGACTCCATCACTCAGAGTCCAGTGCGCTCTCTCAATCCCGCACACAGACTGTGCAACACAGTAGATGTCCCTGGATGGTAATTAGACAGACTGAAATAGATAATTAAAAATAAATAAATCTTTTCAAAGGAAAAATCACTAGAAGACCTTTTCTCATATAGAAATGGGCAGGTTTTCCTAATAGAGGAACCTGACATCACTGCCTCTATTAAAATATTTTAAAATAATAACAGAGAGGCAAGGCAGCAAGCTTCTACAAGCATATGTTTAATACGACTAAATGGCACTTACATTTCAGAACCTGACTTTCTGAAGTGCTGAGCATCCAAAACACCAACTGGAGTCACTGCATGCCATGACTGTTCAGCACTCTTAAAGTCAGGCTCTAAATGACTGTGATATCTGTCATGGTATTGCTGCTGCTCCTACTGCTCCTGGAAAGCACACAGCATTCATTCGCTTGAGTCAACTTGCCAACAGAAGGTCAGAGTGCCTTGCCTATAAACAAGCCTTACAAATTCACGATCTAAAGCATGATGTCATGTCTTAAAATGATAAGCTGGCAACAAAGTAAATGACATTTTGTAAAGATGTGCATAATTTTATGTTTACGCTACTTAGAACGAAGGTTCTAATAAGTCATCGGTTGTGTTCCTTTAAAGGGAAGTTTTATAACTGAGATGAATCACAACTGCAAAAGATCAAAGTTAAAAAACATCAATGATGCCATGGGGTACTTTTTAATCTTGTAATGAATGATGATCATGTGCTCTTATGAAGTTGGTCCAACTGCCAACGCCAGATGTGTATATTAAGAAAAAAGTTGTTTGTGATGTGACAGCTCTGGTTGAGCTGCCAGAGAAGAAAACTAGGATAACATGCTTGAGATGTCGAGGTGAAATACAGATCCTGGCAGAGAGGGGCACTATTTGTCGATACATAATTTGTTAAGAAAAACACATTTGCTATCAGAGCCGCTCCTTGACTTGAATTCCTTATTGCCCCCAATCACCTAATTTTCCTTATGCAACGTCAATGCCAGATTCACTTCTTGAATGATTACTACCAAACAGTCATAAATCTACACGAGTGCAGAGGCTCTCCGAAGGAAGCAGAACTTCAGTGAAACTCCGACAGCTCACTGGAGCTACTCTGTCCCTGAAAATTCAGGTTTAATAACTAGTCATTCTGGAGGTGTCATAGCTTTGAAAGTATCAGACTGCAATAACAAAACTTGCAGAACAAAACCGACCTCAGAGTAGAGCTTCACTAAGTATTTAGCCAAAATATTAAAATTCAGATGGACATTCAAGCTCAAATTTGGCTTTCTTTAAAAAAAAAAAAAAAAAAAAAAGATGAAGAAAGACACAGTAACTCCATCTAGGCTATAAGAACTAAGTTACCGAGCATTCCTAGGTTCAGCTATTCAATGAGAATAGCAGACAGGTATCACACACAAAGGCCTTTCAGGTCTAAACTAAAAAACTCCAGCAGAACTTGGAAATCTTACTGAGTTATATGAACACAGCCTCCTTTTTATCCACTGATCACCAAAATGGTTAGTCCGAACACAAAGAGGTTCCCTTTCTGTGCTACACAGCGTCGTCTACACTATCGTCTGCATCGTTTTCAAACCGCTCTGCTCTTTCACAGCGGTTGTGTCCTCTGCTGGGACATTTCCCCTTTTGCAGATGCCTCAATACATACATGGAAGCAGCCTCCAAATGGGGATGGCTAAATGATATATCACTTATTCCCTGGGTTTTACTCCATGAATGCAGTTTGCCCAGTGTCTCCAAGTAAGCTACACGGAGCACCAGCTGCAGGTGAAAATTATAAATGGGAACTGATTCAGCTCGGGAGAGAAGACAGAACAAAAATCCCCTCGCTGTGACAGATGGACACTTCAGCTCTGAGCAGGTAGCAACGCAACTATCTACGTAATGAAATTTATCCATAGCTACTTGCTTTTTCTTATCTGTTACTCGAGGTGAAACTCTGCAGCCCGGACAGTTCTTAGAGAAGGCATTTCAGTTCCCGTCTCTCAGTATAAGAGGTGACACTGCAGCGTGTATTAGCACGAGAAACACTTAACTGCATGAATTCTGTCTACATCTTTCTACTTATTCTGCCTTTGTGGTATTTTAAACAAAACTCCATGAAAGCTCCTTAAAGATCTCATTTGTATGTGCAGATCAAAGGCAAAATAATTATTTGAGATGCTTCCATTATAGGGATTTTTTTTAATGTGGTTATTCATCAAATAATTCTTAATCTCTAAATGTAATTTAAGTACAGCTATACCTGGTTAATCCAATCAATTTAGAAAGAGTTGTTCTAGTTAGATTAAGAAAAAAACTCCAGAACTGGCTCATCAGTAATACCCATACGATGTGAGACGGGTTACCAGCTAAATGTGCTAGACAGAGAGACAGCCGGATAAATCATGATGGATTAACCAGACTTCACTGTATCTAAAAATAAGTGCTACCCATAAAACTGCTAGAACATGACAAACCACAATTGTCATAAAAATATAGCCAGCAATCATTGCAAATAGATTCTTAGTTAGGAAGTTAGGAAGGTGCACTGCTATGAGATAAACGTGCCGAGTGAAAATCTGCTGGACTACGTTTAAATAAAATGTACTTTCTGTGCACAAATAAGAAACAAAGACCATGCTGTTGATATGCTGGTTTTTATCTTTCTTTGGCCCCCAGGGGTCTATGATGAGTCCATAGCTGAAAACCAATTTCAGGTATGATGAGATTAACCAGGTGCATTAATTATCTGATGGCAAAAGAATTTAAGGGCAAACAAAAAGGCACTATATTATATATTTTCTCTCTGCACTAGGACTGATCCTGAAAGATCCCTCTCCTATTTTGTTCTAAACGTCTTCAGTTGGAAGCTTACACGAGTTCAGGGAATTCAGCATGTTGCAGGATTGTGTCTATTATGCCTAAATCAGATTATATATAAATACAGTGGGTTTAGTTCTCATTTACGCTGGCAGATAATGTATCAAGACCTTGATGTGAATGAGAATCAGGTTTGTGATTGCCCAAATTCAGCCAAGCACTTAAGTGTGTGTTTAATGCAAGTACGTGTGTGGTCCAATAGACTCCGAATTAAGCATGCGCTTACATATTTTGCTGAGCAAGAACCAATGTTTGACAAAGATATATATTTCATTTATGGGTCTCTGTTAAACGAAATTAAGCAGACATAAGTGCAAAAATAAGAATATAATACTCACTTCTTGGCTCCCTTGGCCCATCCACTGTAACCTTTATAGCTCTGTGGTATGTAGCGACTTGGGGGGGATTTGTCAGGACAGTTATTGTCAAAGTAAAGCTCTTCCCTACAAAGGGAAAAAAACAACAAGGAATGAGTGATTACAACATGAAAACAGTCACATGCATGTTCAGTAAAGAATCAGAGACGTTTAAAATTATTCCCTGTCGTTACCACAATCGTGAAAATTAAAAACATAACTGACCATAGGAGTTTTCCTCCCCTTCAGTTTTACTCTATGTCAAGAATATGTCCATGTGTTGACAATCTAAATGTTTCTTATTTAATAATGGGTCATCATACAATGACAGAACAAAAGTGATTCACTGCTGAAGACAAGCCAAATTCTTTGCTGTATTGAAAGTGGTGTAAATCCAAAGCTAGTCAGATAATTTAAAAATTTACTCCAGTTTTGCAGCTGTGTGACAGAGAGCAGAATGTGGCCACATGTTATTTACTTCACACAGTTTTATCATTTCATTTGTTTGACTTGACTACAATAAGATGAGGAAAGAATATATTTTCCTCCTGGGAGTCATTTTAACAGGGAATCAGTGTCTCCTGTCCTTCATATGCCAGGGGTAATACGATGATATCATTATTACTGGAACACACTTTTTTCCCCTACATATATTCCATCTATGAAATACTAAGAAAGCCCCCAGCTTTCCCATGAGGGTGAGAAACTGTTGTGTGCATGCACATTGCTATCGTAAGTCTGCATTTTTTTTTTTATTTTCCAAAGTTCCGAGTTCATGCAGAGATTGCACAAGATCTTCCACAGCCTTTAGCTGAATGAAAACGTTAAAAAGAAATAAATAAAGGGAGCTGCCTGTGTCTGAGCGCACATTCTCACAAGGCGCTGGCCCCCGTTCGGGAGACTCACTGACAGTTGTAATCTGTTAGATATGCAACGGTTAGTCATGTCAGATAGTCAAAACTGAAAACTGTTTCAAGACAGGAAAAGGTGGGCGTACAACAGTGACTCAATAAAACAGTCAGCAATCTTCGGCCTTCGTGCTCATTTAAGCTGCTACTTTACCAGACACTTAAAACTCCTTTTCCCCCCCCCCCCCCCCCCCGTGTGTATACATGCATTTTTGTTGCTAGGGCTTTTCCTCTTGCTGAACTCTGAAGGAATCCAATCAAGACACAAATCTTAAACGATATGTAACAGCACAAACTTAATGCAGTTTTTCCGAGCCTAATATAGAACAGCTTATATATAAGGCATAATACAGAACAGGGCTTTGGCTGTCAAACCTAGTAATTGGTCTTTCTCTCTGGTCCAAGTCGTATATCCCCCAAACCTGCCTGAGACACGCATCATTTATTATCAGGAGTGCAACTTCAAACTGTCTTGGCTATATTTTTCACGAACTAGAAAGTGACATGGATTTTCTTTTAAGGAAATATAACTGTCATCTAGAGTAAAATGAATTTCCAGGTGTAGCTGCGCTCCAGCTGTGCCCAGCTCTCTGAGAGATGCCGGTTAGAGGGAAGGTCAGGACCCGGCCAAGGTGCCAAAATCTCAGGAGGCTGAACTCCATCTCAGTGGAAATGCGTGGCTGAAGGTGGCCTTCCCCCGTTTCACTGGGAAATGGATCATTTCTCAGATCTTTCAAGAGTGATCGTCGCAGGAGGAGAGTTTGCTGTACGCAGGACGCCCAGCCTTTGAATTCAGCCTATTGCTTGGAGATACAGAATTCACCAGGGACAGGTTTAAGGCCTCCTTTGGCTTATCATGTCAAAAAGTTCTGACTGTTAAATTGCAGGATGATGACATTCAGCTACCCATGTAAAATCAGTGGAATATTATTGGTAACAAAGATACGAAAGGGATTTCCCATATACCTTCGAATGAAGAATTTGGCCTGCCAATGCTACCGTTCTATTTATACGCCAAATCAGTATAAAAGTCTATCACGACTAAAACTTAACAAAATATACTATTGGTAAGACCCTGTAAAATCATTCTATAGAAAAGCACTGCAAGATTTTCTACACTACCTCAACAGGATACAGTGGCCAGAAAAAATGCATTCCTTAATATCAAGAGCTACGTTTTGACCTCGCCTGTGAGCATTTCTAAACTGTCACCTCTTGGCCAGCCCAAGCTGAGCAGGTAAGCAACTAATTTGAAAGGGAAACTGTTTTTGTTCCCTAACTGGTACTCTACCAAACTGAAGCACTGATGAAGTAACACTGATGAAGCCCCCTCGCGCTCAGTAAACAATACATCGCTTCATCGCAGGGAGCTGCGCGGCCCTGCCAGTGCACTCAGGTTCCAGAGCTTTCAAGAGATGATTTACATATTACAGGATTGAGAACAAAATAAATTTTTAAGGTCCCCTGTTTCGGTGATGCTTATGCCTGCCACAGATATTTCACAGATATCCCTCCTCAGTTACGAAATCCTTTAATGCACTTTTTATCACCTTTTTTTATTGCCCTTAGTCATTTCAACTATCCACTTTTAGAGGCTAAAGACTAATTGTAGTTCTCTTTTATTAAATTCCCCAGCCAAGCAGTCATCTGGCACTATTGCTTCAGTGTGTCTAAACTGTGCATTCTTTGTTATTCACACATGTGAGCCCAGCTGACACAGGAGGACGAGATGGACATATGCTGAAGCACAAGGCAAACCCCAGAAATTAGCTTGAAAGGAGACTCGGCAGCTTGTGCGTGTTGCATATTTTTTCAGTTAGATGCTAATGTGATTAAAGTATCAGGACACAACAAAATTAAGGTTATGATCCTTTGCTTATTGAAGACAGGAATTCTTTCTTCTCTGCGCTGTGGATCGGGCTTGTAAAAGTGAACTACTGCCTGAAAACCACATACAAACAACTTCTGCATTCACATAAAGCACCCCGGTTACTTATTCTTATGAATCCAGAAAAGGTGTTTGAGAGAAATTATACAAACAAAAACGTGAAGCTTCTGTCAGGCAAGCAACATTAATATGTATAAAAATCAAGTTTCTCCATTGAGCCATGGGAAGCAAGAAAGAACGTGGGAGAGGAGGTGAAGTGGTAAGTTGATGATTCAGACTTCACAATCAAATTTAGAGATACAGAGATCAAAGAGCGAGCTGTTTAGAAAGATGTAAATCTAAAGTCAGGAACAGGTGTGGATTAGTTTCTCGCCACCGAAAAATGATTTCTTTATTACTTTATTTTTCCTGTTCTACTTCAAGACCTGTATCTACCGATATTTGTCTACGTAAGGAGCTTTCTCACTTCTGTTTGCAACTACTGCTTTCTTTTCCTGCTATTTTAAGCAGAGTTCTAAAAATCTATCATTAATGATAACTCTTTCTCCTTCTCTCCCTCTCTCTCTCTCCCCCTCTCTGTTCTAAGTCTGGAAGACAAGTCTGGACCAATTTCTCCATCCTGCCTCTGGCAGCAGAATGCAGCATTTCAGATCCTCCACCGAGTCCCGGCTGCTTCAAAGGAAAAGCCCTACTTTCTTCCGTTAAGATCATAAGAAATATAGGGGGAGGGGGTCAGCTCTGTTTGGACATAATTACACTTCATCAAAAGAAGCTTTCTTCATCTTCCATGCGTGAAAAGTCTGCAAGCAGTTAAGTCTGTCTTTTTTCTTCCCCCTTTTTTTTTTTTTAAATATAAAAATTGCTATTTGGGAAACTAGCCAAAACTCAGAAAGCCAATATAGTAAAACAGTGCACACCCTTTGTTTTTCTTTGAAGTCTCTTAAATAAATATGTTGAGGGTTTGAAAAGTACACTATCGCTTTTCCATAGATTCTACTCAGATTGATCAGAGAAAAAGTCTATTCCAAGTCTGCTAGATACAAATATAAATTAAACTACTGGAATCAAATTTTAGGAGGTTTGTGTTTGTATGTGTCTGTAGCCGTATCTACTGAGGCTTTAGGCCCTCTATTTCATTTCCTACGCTTTAATAAAAAGTATGTATTATGGGTTTCAAATGAAATTCACAGATCAGAGGTAGTACATCACATTTCAGTTCTTTTTCAGCACTACTGAAAGACTGATACACTACTGAACTTTTACTGTAAGGCAGCAGTAGTGATGGAGCCAGAGAACTTTCAAACCTAATCCATCAGCAGAATAACAAAGCAGACTGGTTTTTTTAAAGAAAGCAAGACAAATGGAAGACATAGGTAACACCTTATCCGAAAGGGCAATGAACTCCATATTTATATTGCATTACTGTTGCAATAGTTACTCTGTCTTTCAAGTTATTCTTTATTATTAATACTTTTAAAGCTGTAAAATGATAAAGAGAATTGTTAGCCACGTCACCAAAATAAAAAATAGCCACTGTAAGCCACGCTTATGGACTCACTTTCATGAAGCACTTGTAAAAGTGTGCCAAGTGATTTAGACTATCTAGGCCTCTGTCATGTGTTTAACTTTTTTGTTGGACAAATATTCTTTCCTTCCTTAAGATGAATTACAACTGCTTCCTAAAGAATATTACTGTAAAATTAGCTTTATTGCTAATTTCCCAACACAGTTGTTCAGCTTCTATTGCTTTGTTTTGCCCTATGCAGAGCTAGTTAAAAAAATTAATAATTACTTCAAATACATGAAGGAAAAAAAATGTAGGTTGAATCAATGACTGATATAACAAACCTGCAGTAAAAACTGAAGTGCCAGCTTCCTTCAAGCTATCCTTTCAATCATTACCTGAAATTTGAAAGCAGCTACAAGAATCTTAAAGAGGAATTCTGGCAAACTTGCAATGATTACAAAGGCTTTCTATGAGTGCAGTGCAGTTTCCAGATTATAGGAAGCTCCTAAACAGCTGGAAGACAATGACAGCACTCTACATCTTCAAAAAAAACCCCCAACCTGAAAGTTACCCTGTCATTTAAAGTAAAGGTTAAATTTTGTTCAAGCCCAATTCATAAAAAGTCAACCAGTTTACTAAAAAGAAAAGTACAGCTTATTTCTGCAGGTCATATGCAGTTTGATCGTAAAGGGCAGGGAAGTCACTAGAAAGCTTTCCACCAATAGCTGTAAGCCTTTAAAGATGTAAGCCCTTAAAGAATATAACCCATAGCACATGTAATATGCAAAATCCCCTTAATTACAGGTCTTCTACAACAACTTCAGAAGCAGCTCTACTGCTAAAGGGAATTCTCCACCTCTCATTGCAGTGGCCTGAGATACACTCTCTGACTCCACGTAACCCAGATCACAAATACCCCCATCTCCTTCCACCTTTGCTGTGGGATTAAAATAGGGAAGCAGGTATTCTGTGAACCATTTTTCACAACTGGCGTCTCCTAAAAATGTACAGACGTGAGGAGTCAGGAAAACTTAAGAGAAACTCTTAACTTGGCTTGCACAAGTGCTGACGTTTGCAAATAAAACATGCATTCATCCCTCCAAGTGAAAGGCCGACAGCGACGTATTTACAGATTGATCAGTATTTCATTGCAAAGTAAGTTTGACGTCTAGACATTGTTTTTACTTCATTATGGACACGTAAAATGCAGCGGCCTACCTCTTCCACTTCTGCCCACAAATCGTAAGTCATTAAATCTGGCCACCTGGTTCTTCATCACGGCAGAAGCGTTTCGCAGCTCTGCAGAGTAGTTCTCATCGTTTCCAGCCATGACGGTGACCACGGTCCCATCAGGCACTTCTCCTAAGGCCACCACCTGTTAAAATGGGAAGACAACCACAACTCATGAGGCAACACTTTGGAAACGCGTGTCTCCATCCCAGCTTTGCAGCCTGCCGTGCTCATTACGAAGCTCTGCGGCAGCTTCTCCAGCCCGCTGTGGTGAAGAGTCATGTATTAGCTGAACACAGAACAAAGTGCCACATCAAACAAAGAAACATCTTGTATTGTCTCCCTTTCTCAAAGCCTAATAGGGAGTTTCTTCTTTGTTACAGTTCTTCAGAAACATTCAACATCCTTATGTAGAGTGTATGGTTTAATGCTTCCTGAAGGCCAACTTTGTTCTTAGCAACCAGTGAGCAGCGAGAAAACACGAGGCATGGCTCATATCCATAAATTATGTGCAGGAACACATTTGAAATGGAAAGTTAGAAATTACTATTAGCAGCCTTATCACCCAGGTTCGGCTCTACTTCTCCGCTGGTTCCACCCATCACCCTGACCCCAGAGCTCCCCAGACTTCGAGCTAGAGAGAACCCCCCCGCCGTCTACCCATCCCAGGAGTGGCACCGGGGGCATGAGGAGAGAAAGCTCTCCACCCAACACGCTGCTGCCACGGAGCGCTTTATGGCTCCAATTCAAACCCTTCGGATGCAATACAAAACAAAGGCTGTATTTCCTTGCAGGCATGTAAATTTTCGCAGCGCTCGCAAGAGTCGCATGTGGTTAGCGCTGATACCTCCCTCAAATTCCAGGATGGGTGAACAGAAGATATCAAAGTGTTTCTCCTTACGTTTCAGCTGGCTGATAGTCTCGCTTTCATGCTTCAGTGGTTGTGTAGCGCTCCAACATCTGATTAGATAAATGCCACAGAGCAGACAGCTACTGTCTTCTAATTCAAAAACACCAGGGATACCTACAGTGTTACTGCACTGTGACTTTTTGAAGTAAAACCAGACAGGAATACTAGTTACCAGGAAGAAAATACACGTTTCTTCACATGGCGTAAAAAAAGCCCACAAAAGTATCAAGAAAATAAATTCCTCCTGCCCAGTTAGCTAATACTGATGCTGGAAATAAATTTAAAACAAAAAGAGATTCAGAAATCTTGCATGGCTGAGCTCAAACTTGAAAAAAACCCGTACTTGAGATACAAAGCCCATCCCCTTGCAGTTTCTACCAGTTTACATGGTCAGATAAGACTTTTTATATTCTTCATATAAAGAAGAAGAATAATTTATTCTGTCTCCTGAAATACATATTACATTTTGTCATAAGCCCTGCCTGAAATGTCTTTCCCATAAATGATCCTAGCTGAAACTAACAATTGCAGGTTGCACTGTAATATTAATTAAGTGGAAAGAATGAGGAGTTCTGAATATATAGGGAGAACATTATGTGGCCCAGTGCACTGTGCAATGTCTCCCCAAAACAATAAAAATTAATGACAAAGGTATAAAAAATCTGAAAATATTTAAAATAGACTGTGTTCCTGAAAATTATAGCTCATCTTATTTAAAAGAAATATTGAAGAGAAAGAAGAAACCAAGGCTGAAACGCTGTACAAAAAGGTTCTACTGGTGCTTTTCTGTTTTTCCATAAAACACCAGGTAACACCACCCAAAACTGCAAACTGAGTTTTGCCACAAACTACTGTGAGGTCTCGTCTATCAAGCAAATATTTTACTTTAAAGTGAGATGAACGTCCCTGAACATAAAAACACAGGAACCGCCGTTGTGGATAAGATCTGAGGTCCCACTAGCTCAGTGCCTTGGGTCTGACAGCAACCAGGTCTGACGCCTTCAAAGCCAAGTGTAAGGAATGATAAATAATAATCAAATATCAAGTAATAATCTGCTGAACAGATTATAGAGCTGACTCTAACCCTTAACAAATGGATATTGGCTTAAACTCTAAAGCGTGGGGCTTGAGACTACCTACGAAACACTCCCTTCCCAGTTAGCGATAGACCATGTTATCTCTGGACGGTCTTGCCACGCACATTAGCGTCCAGGGGAGTTGCAAGCTACGCTTCTTATATCTCACAAAAAACCAAAAAAAAATCACATTAACTCCAGAAACGTGAAGAAGCCGAGAGCACAGGAGGAATTGTGAGTCTGCCAGGGGCCTCTGTCTCAACCCGGTCTCCTGAGCACGCGTTCAGCTTCCAACACCTGGGCAGGAGGGAGCAAAACCTCTTCAAAGGGCCCCCCCGACCCTGCCTTGCTTTTCAGAGGTTTCCTCTCTAGCCTTTCCACTCGATGATGTCAGTTCAATTTGTCAGCTCAGATATCAGCCCAAGACTGCACGTGCCGCTGCCGGAGTCACCGGGCTGATCACACCTAATCAAGAACCGCATCGTTACTGAAACGCACCGGCTTTTTGATGCAGTGTGATGCAATATCGCTATTCGTCTCATTAGGAGAAGACTGAAGGAAGAGACAAACCGAAATCAGAGGCCAAAATAAAAACTTTGGCTAATAAGAGAAAGTCCCATTACATAGGAAGCTCCCCTGCTATGCAACAGGAGGAAAATACTTGTTCTCTTCGTGATTTCATACTTTTTTGCCGTGAAACACCAGAAGACTATTGCACACATCCATAATAGCACTGGTTAGAAAAAAGCTTGGCAAAACAGGCTTGAAACCTGGAGAAATACACATAATTTTGAGAATTTTAGAAAGTAACTTTGCATACTGAAAGACTGTTGGCATAAACCTTGATTTGGTGATTTTATGCCATGTATCAATCCAAAGTTATTTACATATTCTTAGAAAGAGGATTGTAAGTGCACTGTGAAATGAATAAGGACTGAGTAAAAAATTAAAGATTAAAAGTAGCCACAGCGCACATTCCTTACCTATTCTTGAAACATAAATATCTCTACTATTTCAAAATCTTTATTTTCCACATTAAACTACCTACACACTTTAGTGATTAAAGGTAGATTTTGCTTCTGCTTTTTTTATAACTAAAGCTCAAGAAGGTACATGAAGTCAGATGAAGCCACAAAATAAAACCAAACCAATTCATACAAGTTGAAAATAACTATGTATTTTTTGCATAACACAACTCTCGTCTGGTTAGGCAACCTGTTTGCCCAGTTTCGGTCCAGTGGGATTTGAACTGGCCAAAGTATGTACCCTAAAGACGGAAGTTATAAGCACGAAGCAAAACTGCTGTACAACAGCAGGTACTAAGACTTTCTGCAGAGTAAAATGCTTGTTTCGAAAAAAAGCTAGCGCACATGCTAAATAGTTCCTCACAAACATTGATATCTACCACCTCTTGCGAAACACTGAATTCAAACAGCCTCTGCGTGTAAAATCTTCCGTACTGAGAACGCGTTTTCCTGAGATTGCCAAAAGTGCATCTGATACTATTAAAAATATTTTAATGTTCTGTAACTTAAAACAGAGTAAAACTGAATTGCACTACTTTTTGTTTCAAAATATACATCTGGGCTGACAATTTATACAGCAGGTTTCAGCTTGAAGCTATTTAAAACAGCTGAGTTATAAACTCTGAAAATTGGGGTTTGGAGGAGAAATGCTGACAGACCCTTAACTACTGTGGTGCTACTGAGGAGAGGTCTTAGACTTCACGTCCCTTTTTTTTCCCCTGCCTTTAGGTCCACGAAGGCTCTTTGCTACTATCAGCATCATACAGAAGCCACTTGTAACAGCTAACGTGGCATTTCGGGTCTTTATGACTTTCAGTAAAAACTCCCAGGCAGACACATAAGCAGAAGGCCAAATTCTGATGACTCTACTCAAATAAAAGACCGCTGGGTATTAACAATAAGAAGTGAATGTGATTTGGACCCAGCTGCACAATATCTATTTCTTTTATGCAGAATATCACTAGATAGGTAGAACTATATTAATAGGTAGATGTCTAATACTCTTCCCCCCAAAACCAGTTTGCATTAACAGTCTTATTAGTTCGTACACTCAGCAGGGACTCCCTCCCCAGTGCGTGTAAATATTAATACTTAAAATTCAAATCTAATACTAAGCCAACATTATTTCAAAAACTTACAATCAAGCCCAGCACTGTTTATAACATACTTCCTCTCCTGCATATGATTAATATCTGTTTTTTTTAAATTAAAACAGTGCTATACCCAGAGTACTTTTTAACTAGAGATCTCTGCGAGAGAATTATGACACACTTAACACACCACTCAAAACATTATCATCAACATATTATTTATTGCCAATAAAACTTCAAAAAGTGTGTTGTCTGTGAGCTATTTTACTTTCAAGTTACTGTTTAGCCAATAGAGCCCAAATCTGTCTTTTTTTCCTTTTCAGAGATAATTCCCACTCTGTTATATCACAGTCAAGTGTTTCACTGTATGATACATGCAGCTTCTTTAGTCTCAAAGTACTGGACAGCTGCATGCAAGTTACCTTTGAAAAATGAAATATTTTTTTTTAAATTCTCAAGATTATTTCAATGGAGTTTCAAATTAATTTACCAGTAAATTAGGGCATATCTATCTTCGGCATATTTTAAAAAGTACGCATTGCATACTGCATATGAAAACAGATGCACCCAGAGTGGAACGGTGCAAGGGGCGATGCCTACTCCTGATGCATCAGAAAAATTGGTCATATCTATACCTCCTCCCCGTTAGCAGTCAAATATAGGACCCAAATATAAGACATGTATAAATATATATATGAACACAAGAAGACTGGGAAATGCTCTAAACCTTTTTCTATCCTTTTATCACACGTAAGCATTCTCACTGTAATAATATTCTAAATACTTTAGTATCTAGTTTAGATCTTTCCCTTATTCTAATGAACTGCGACCGCATCCTTTGAATTGCTGTAAGGTCGAAGGCTCAGACGTTTCTAACGAAAACTGCCATGCGAGTACGATAATGTAAGCGGTCTCGTGTCCCTTCTATAAAGAGTAACTATAATACCAACTTAATCCAACGCTCAATTAAATTATAATCACGATTTTCCGAAAGGTCCTCCTCCTTACCCCGAAGCCCCTGTGAATCAGAATCACCGGGATCCACACCTAGAGAGCCTTTGAGCGCTAACGCCAGGTCACGAAAACAGAAGACACCCCATTTTTCTGCCATTTCTACTCAGCCCGACCACCGTGACCTGCACGAGCGGGCCCCAGCTCCCTCACGCAAAAGCTCTTTACTCAGCTCTCATCTGCACCCCCGTAACATTTCCGAAGCGGAGCTTCATCTTTATCACCCCTCGCTTTAACGCCAGCTCATTTAACCGCTTCTACTAATTTTTTCCTGGATGAACGGCCGTGATAACACGGCTAGCAATTGGGAAACGCGAGCACAAGGCGACGTTCTGGAAACGCGCTGGGCGAGACCGTTTCCAAACTCTTCTACCTTTTGAGCGATTATTTTTCACCTAGCGGGTCTGGGACA